GTGTGGTCATGTTCTAGAAGCATTCTCTCCTGATGTTTCGCCTGCATCTATGGCAAGCATCCTCAAAGATTGTGAATGCTTCAAGAACATGGCCATACAGCCCGAAAAACCTACAACAACCCAGTGATTCCAGCCATGAAAGCCTTTGACAATACATAAATTTCTATTATTTTTAATTTATTTCTCTGAGAATCTCTAGGTCTTCCAGCACAAGCCTACGGTCAACATCTGCTGGAAGTAGACCTACTGAATTATACTGGTGGACCTAGAGATTCCTAGAGAGATGCACATCTAAATTGTAGAATAAATGTATGAGGGTTATCTGGAAAGTAAGGTTACAAGGCACGTAGCTCTCGCGGGAAATTTTCTTGGGGGAAGTTGGTATCACTGCCATGTAGCGGGAAGCTGGTGGAAGCAAACGAGCAGTGCCAGTCGACAGTAGCTCATCGACTGCCGTTGCGGTGAACTTTACAGATGAGAGTCCTCATTCTGTTTCCCTCAAAGTGTGAAATTCATGTTGTAATACACAACTTTAATGCTAAGGGTATGAATGCTACTGCATCGCAAATCGTTTCAGTTTATGGACAGGATGTAATGTCAAGACAGTATGTGACAAAACTTCACAGAGCCGTCCAAAACAAAAGTTGTGGGATGTTGATGGCGGGAGTCTGTCTCCTTCATGAAAATGCACATCTGCACACCGCTCATGCAACACAAGGGTTGTTGACTTCATTTGGTTGTGATGTTTTAAGCCAGTGGTTCTCAACCTGGGGTCCCCAGATGTTTTTGGCCTTCAACTCCCAGATATCCTAACAGCTGGTAAACTGGCTGGGATTTCTGGGAGTTATAGGCCAAAAACATCTGGGGACCCCAGGTTGAGAACCACTGTTTTAAGTCATCCTTCTCACAACCCCAATCTCGCAACCAGTGACTATCATCTGTTCAATAAATTGAGGGAACTTCTAGAAAGAAAACATTTTACCTATGCTACAATCTATATAAGTTTTATTAAAATATATTCATTCTTTGTATTTAAAATAATACCTTACTTTCCAGATAATCCTCATAGTTTGATGACACATTTAACTGCTTTGTCTCAATGCTATGTAATCATGGAAGTTGGGGGAGAAGGGGAAAGACCTCATAAAACCTATAACCCCCATGATTTTATAGCACTGAGCCCTAGTAGTTAAAGTAGTCTCAAACTATATGCATTCTACAATATAGATGCATCCTACATCTACTCCCTCAAATCTGGTGAAGTAGACTTAAGTCTACAAAAGGCTTATGCTACCAACTTTGTTCTCTCAGTTAATCCCTAAGTCTCTTTGCATACAATACAATACCTCTTTGTGTGCTAATTTGACAAGGCATGGACCTTTGGGAGAAGGAATGTTATTGTCTTTTTTAGACAAATTGAAATAAAGGATGGTTCTATATGTAGGTTCTATACTCTATATGATGATTCTCTACTCTACAAAGGCACCAGATCCCATCTGATCTTGGAAGCTAAGCAAAGTCAGACCTGGTTAATACCTGGAGAGGAAACCACCAACAAATCCCAGGTGCTGTAGGCTGTATTTCAGAGGAAGGAACGGCCCAAATCACTTCTAAGTATTCATTGCCTGAGAAAACCCTACGGAATTCATAGGCCCGCTGTTAAGTCAATAGGCGAATTGAATTGATACATGATTATGTATGCAATGTGCAGTATATATGTTATAAGGCAAGGATCTCTTGGGAGGAGGTGAGAGAATGGGATGTTGGAAGTGAAAGGTGACTGCCTGAGCTGGAGAGATGTTTAAAAGGCTGGTGGGCATGACAGCGAGAGAGTCAGAGAAAGAGTGGCATCCATCAATGTTTGGGACTGGTAAATTGGACTGTGTCCGAGTGTTCACCATTTTATACGTACCAGGGATTCCATTTTATTATATCACTGAATATACAGGAGGTCTTGATGTTTTAGGAATCGTAGATCAAGGGAACAGACCAGGAAATACTGTAGTATCTCACCAAGTCACCAATCCCAGAGTTCTATAGGATGGGGCCATGGCCATTAAAGTGGCATTGAACTCATCTAATTGTAGTGTAGGTAATACTCAGTGGAGGCTCTTTCTTTGACAAAAAAAAAAAATGAACCCTATTCTTAAAAAGTCCTGCCCCATGGGCAACTCTATTAAACCTAAGCACCAGGATTGTGGCGCAGCTGGCTGAGTGTCAGCTGCATTAAGATCACTCTGACCAAAAGGTCATGAGTTCGAAAGCCAGCCCGGGTTGGAGTGGGTTTCCAACCAATTGTGTAGCCTGTTGTCGACCTTTGCAACCCGAAAGACAGTTGCATCTGTCAAGTAGGAAAATTAGGTACCACCTTAAAGTGTGGGGAGGCTAAATTAACTAATTTATGAGGCCATAAAAAAGACTCCAGCAAAGCACTCCAGCAAAAGCATGCGGGGAATGCGGAACTACTTCATCAGTGTCGCAGGTGGACGATGAAAGCGACAGCTCCCCTGGCAGCCAGAAAAAGTTAAATAGCCTCTGTGTATGTCTGTATAGTTGTATGTCAAAATTGGCATTGAATGTTTGCCATATATGTGTACACTGTAATCCGCCCTGAGTCCCCTGCGGGGTGAGAAGGGCGGAATATAAATGTAAATAAATAAATAAATAAATAAATAAAGGGAACCTGATGCCAGCAGCCATCTCTGGTTTCCCCTTTATATGACCTCCTGGACAAAGCAATCTGTTAAAAATCTAAAATGCATCAATGCTGCAATAAAAGTACAAAAGCAAAGGAAACAAATAGAGGTAGAAAGAAATGTTTTCAGTACATGGAGTCTAATAAGAAACCAGGAGCAAAGATAGAAATATGAAGTGGCAAATGCACCAGATCAATTCTTAAAAGTCCATGAGAGAACCAAACCCTCAATGCTAGCTACAATATTCAGACTTCCTGACCACTGGCAGTGTTGTCTATGGCCTTATGCAGCAGGTTTCCAATATGGTCTAGGAACTCAAACTGGGGAACAACTGATTAGTTCCAACCCACCTTCTCAGTAAGAAAAAGTGACCGAACAGACTCAGCAAATGGTCCTTGGAGACTTCATGCCACCTCTCCAACCACAATCCAGAAAACAGCTCCACATAAAGACACTTTTCTAAGTGTCTAGTTGGATGCTGTTGTTGAGTGCCTTTGGGTCATTTCTGACTTATGTCAACCCTAAGGTGACTCTAACACAGGGTTTTCTGGGGTTGCAAATGTGTGACTTGCCCAAGGTCACCTAATGGGTTTTCATGGCCAAATGGAGATTCAAATTCAGTTCTCCATAGCCATACTCCAAACGCTGCATACTTGTTCTACATCAGTGGTTCTCAACCTGTGAATCCCCAGGTGTTTTGGCCTACAACTCCCAGAAATCCCAGGCACTTTACCAACTTGTTAGGATTTCTGGGAGTTGAAGGCCAAAACTCTGGGGACCCACAGATTGAGAACCACTGTTCTACATGTTGCTGATGTAGACCCCCCACCCACCCAAGCAACCGGCAAAGACAAACAGGAAGTGTTCAGAATTTGTTTGAAAGCCTCCAAAGAAAGGAGACATACCCCCCACCAAAATGACAAGTTTAATTGTGAAACTTCTTTCACAGTGAATACATTTCTTGAAATATTAAAAACTGAAACCCACCATATATTAAATCAAATTCACAATTAAATGACAACCTGGAATATGATATATACTCGTGTATAAGTCGACCTCATGTTTAAGTTGAAATCTAAATTAAAGATTTTGACACAACCCATAAATAATTAAGTCAATCCACTGAGAGGGGAAAACACCAATGTTGCCTCAAGGGCCTTTGCTTGCCACCAAAATTTTCCTACCGAGATATTCAGAAAGCCTGGAAGTAGTGTCACGGTGGAAAAATTAATGGGTGTCACTTAGGTTTTCCCAGGATGGACTAAGCTCTTGCCTTTCACCACTTTACACAGAGATTATTTCTTTTTGGAATAAGAATTAAGTGAGTCAATTTTCTGACTAAAATTTCTAGACTTATATAAGCATATAGACAACAATTGTGCATGTATTCAAAGGAAGAAGCCTATCTGCCCAGGATCAGGCCCAGAAATCCTCTGTGGCTGAGACAAGCCAAAACCTATATTATTATTATTTGGTCACTCCACAGAAGAAGGTCCGGGCAGGACACTTACTAAGTCAATGATAAATGCATTCATTTTTAGGGAAAGAGGAGCATGCATCTTTGCATTCGCTGCACCGGGGGGATTTGGGTAGAATGAAGAGGGAGAAAGACTAGTATATTTCTGGGCTATAATCAGGGCTGTGTGTTCCAGGCCAAAAGTGCCATTCAAAAGTCTGCACAGCGAGGGAACTTCTTGTTCCATGGTCAGAGTACGTTCGGAGCCTCAAGCCAATCTGTACCCCTTCCGTCTCACTTCTAGCACTCATTATTATGCTTCCAAGTTCCATGCTTTCACAAAAATATTAATAATAGCTCATCTTTGGCAAAGAGGAAATGAACAGCTGGGGAATCAAAACTATACAGCCAATGAAAGTTGGGCGGGGGGATAAGAGGGAGCAAGAGTGAGGCTTTAGGAAACGGAAAGGATTGTGGCTCAATTGAGGATGGGGAGAAACTTTCCGGCATTCTTGGTTTTCTCCCAAGCTATTCAAATGAACATCAATGGAAAAATCTGACTTTGCACAAGTCCCTCTGGCTTCCAAGGCTTTATCGAACCATGTTCAAATATATTTCAGTTTCCCGTATGCTCTAAAACAACGACCAGCAACCTTTTCAAGTTGTTTTGGTTTGTGAAATTACAAAGCAGGGTTTTTGGAGGATACACACAGCTCAGGTTATAGCGGCAGACAGCATAAACAGACATGGGATCACTCTAAGGCATGGTTGGTGCAAGTCTGGAGAGTCAAACGCCCCACAACCCCGCAATTTTTCAAACTTTTGTGTGAACAAAGCAGTCAACTTGCTTGTTTTGAGCTGATCCTCCTGTCTTCTTCTAACTTCTCTGCTTCTCTGCCTCCCTCTGTACATCGTCCCTCCTCCTCCCCATTGCGTACTTGCCAAGTGTCCTGTTGTGTGACAATAAAGCCATGGGGGTCAAGGCTGATGACCGAGGGGAGTGGGAAGCCAGGCTTTCCCGCCTCCCCTCCAATAAGTGACAACATAAAAGGCAAGTTATTTCAGAGCATGGAAGGATGCCCAACCCACCACCACACATTCCCTCTCCATATCTGGATATACCTCCCATCCGTGAAGGACAGTGGCCTCGAGGTGGGACTGCATGCCCAGGGCCACCCACCTAGGCTGAGATACTTACCTGTTCTGAATAGTCATTTCCGTCAACGTCGTCACTGTTGGAATGGCCTCCAGGACTTTGTACATCTATCCCATGACTCTCCAGGATTGCTGCTTCTTCGAAAAAAGCAAATGGATCCCTGAATTATCTGCTGCAGGGTTACCGATAAGGATGAAGATGAAAAATGGGAACCCTCACAAACGGGAAAATGATATTTGTTGTAAGAACCACAAAGAAGCAACCAGTGCTGTGTGGACTCCATTCTATTTTGCAATTTTTTAAAAAGAAAAGTTGAGAATTCTGCACCAAGAAAAATTAATTCTGCAAAGGAAAAGGTACTGTGCAAGTTTGCAGGATTTACAGGGCACATTCCCACAATTTCTCACTGTACAGAATTTATTTCTGTTTCACTAGCAAAGGGCAGGATGGTTTTCCAGGACACAAAAGCCAACAATCTTGACTACTCAGAATTGTATGCAGAATTTCTGGCTTCTGAAATTTCAGCAGGAGTTGGCTTGGTGGACATAAACGATAAAAACCTTCCTTCTGAATGGAAGTGGCAATTTTTCAGGCACCAAATGCTGCACCCACTTTCCCTCCATCTGTGTCTCTACTTCTAGCCAAACAAACTTCAGACTTAGAGGATCCTTCTTTAAGAAGCAAGAGGAATAAAAAAAATATGGACTTGTTTACTGAAGCCACAAAGAGTTGCTTGCAAGTCTATTTTGTCTCTCTGTCTGTACATATGTTTGTGGGATAGGCCTGGTTTCGTTTTAAATTCTGGTTTGATGGTTCTTACAAGAAACACGCACCCGGTGTGAGGTCCCATTTTCGTCTTCATTTCAATATGGTGCAAGACCCTTTTGTGTGTGTTGTTGCACTGTTAAAAGAGGAAAATTAATTTGGTTGGAGGAGCATGAATGCCCATTTCTTAAAAAAGAAAAAATGCAGAAGCAAATCAGTTTTTAGCAGAGATCTTGGTTCATCTGTTAGCCCATGCTCCATTCATGGCCTCAGGGTTAGATCTCATGGCTGAACCAGAAGCATGGCTTAAGGACCAAGGCAAGAAAGATATGACATCACTACAGCTATCTTATCCGTCAAAGCAGTGACTGGGGTGGAGAAAGTACAATAAGAGCCCATTAATCGTGGGGGAAACATTTCTTGCTGTTCTGCAATAACCTGAAACCATGGATATTATCAAACAGCAGTAAATTAGAGTATTTCCAGTACCAGCATCCCATAGTTTTACATTGCAGGCCCCACAAATCTCCAGACAGCTGTCTACTCTAGAAGTTTGATAGGTTCTCTGATCTGACACTATGTTAACTTCCAGAAGAAGAATAACATAAAGTCACCTGGAGGACCTAGCAAATTCTTAGAGAGAGAATTCCCTTCATTACTGCTTTCATTGGCTCAAGGATAATGTCTCATCCACTTCTAGGTTGGACCAAGAGATTTGTCTGCAGTTTCAGGTGCCTGCACTAGAACATTTTTGATAGATGATGGGGTGTAATTCACATTACATCCAGCTGCAAGAAAACCAGGGTTTTTTATCTTCTCTAGTGTTCCATGGCAACCTGGGCACACGTCTCAGATCACACATACACATTCGAATCTCCAAAAAAAGTTCTGTCACATGAAGCAATGGCTTGCTTGCTTGGAATGTCAGCTGCAAAGCTTAGAAAACTTATTGGCCACGTCAGAGAGAATTCTGGCCACCGCAAGCCAAAAAGTCAGTAGAGACATGTTGCCTACCAGTAAAACATGAGGGCAGGTGAACCTTCTATCTCATGCACTTCTCAGCAAATAATATAGAGAAGCATGTTGTTGTATGCCTTCACGCTGTTTTCGACCCAAAGGTGAACCTATCATGGGGTTTTCTGAGGCTAAAGGTGTGTGCTTGTCTATGGAACCTAGTGAGTTCTTGGCCGTGGAGCCTATTGAGTTCCATGGTCAAGTGAGTTCCTGCCACCTTTCAAAGTCAACAGATGCTCTCTACTGCATCTGGCCTATCTATCTATCTATCTATCTATCTATCTATCTATCTATCTATCTATCTATCGGATGTGCATCTATTTATTTATTTTGCTCAAACATTTGGGGAGGGGGGGAGAGGTGTTCCTTTTTTGGCACAAATCCTCAATTTTTCAAAGAAAAACATTGTCACAAAAATGATCTTGAGGCACCACAGGTCATATAATCCCCATCCTTCCTCCATCATCATGCATTCATTTATTGATTTTCACTCTCCTCTCAACCCCAGAGAGTGTGTAACTCACCCAAACTCAACTAGTGAGTTTCCACGACCAACCCTGGTCTCCAGAGCCATAGACTCAAACCAGTACACCACACTCGCTCTCTGTTTTTCTGAAATCAATATTCTAACCATTCTCCATGTTTGTTGTTGTAGACTGCCATCAAATCAACATCAAAATCATCCGGGCGTCCCCTGGGCAACGTCCTTGCAGACGGCCAATTCTCTCACAACAGAAGTGACTTGCAATTTCTCAAGTCACTCCTGACACGACAAAAACAAAAATCAAATCAACATCAACTCATGGGCTCACAGCAATGAGACCTATAAGTTAATCTATTATCAACAGCCCTGGCACCCATAGCTTCCTCAATTGAGTCACTCTCCTCATTTTTTCCTATTGCCTTCTTCTCCCTGACCAAGCACTACTGCAATTATCAATGAGTCACATCTTCTCATGTCAATAAAAAAGAAATATTAAGTTGTTGTTGCTATGCACCTTCAAAATTCACTCTGGTTAAGGTGCCCAACTATAGGATTTATTTCTATGTATTCATTGGTGCTTTGTCATTGCCTTCCTCCGAAAAATTAGCCCTACTGCACCCGGCATTTCCTTGCTGTCTTCTTTCCAAGTACTAACTATAGCTGACCCTGTTTAGCTTCTAATATCAGATGGGATCTGGCGCCTTCAAGGTATAGCTCATCTAAAAACAAAATACTTTAGGAAAGTCTTGCACAACAGAGATTTCAAGCAGGAAGAACAGAGAATTTCAAGCAAAGCTTTTGGGATTTTTTTTAAAAAAATTGGGATTTCTAGGAGCTTTGCTGGGAAAAAATTGGTGAGGAACATTTGGGGCAACTGATGCAATAACACCATTATATTCATGCTCATTTAGGGGAAAACTCAAAATCATATGTAAATTAACACTGGACTCAATCACACAACTGTTTACGTAAGATACACCCCTTGTATATTTTTGTATTCAAAGCTTCTCTCCTGTACATACTCAAAAATGGAATGGAAGCATCATGCCCACAGATGTTTAATTACATCTCCCATTATTAACAACCACTGCTAATGCTAGTTGCAACTAACAGGAGTTGCAGTTCAACCATATCTGGAAGGTCTCGAGGTTGCCACTCCAGTTCGGTTCACATTGCTTTACTTTTACAGTGTTTGAAATGCTGCAAACTCTGTAAAGTGCAACATAAATAAAGGAGGAGGATGTTGAGGATGATATGGATGAGGATGCTAACTGAGGGAAATTTTATCATCTAATATATTATTTTGCTCTATTGAAGAGCTATGTACAAAGTAGTTTACTACAATGTGAAGTGAGTGTAATGAGATGGCAAAGAGCACAGGAGCAAAGAGCTGTTTAGCAGTGGAACTCTCTGCCCCGGAGTGTGGTGGAGACTCCTTCTTTGGAAGCTTTTAAACAGAGGCTGGATGGCCATCTGTCAGGGGTGATTTGAATGCAATATTCCTGCTTCTTGGCAGAATGGGGTTGGACTGGATGGCCCAGGAGGTCTCTTCCAACTCTTTGATTCTATGATTCTATGAAATGATTTGGGCCAACTTCAGGACTTGACAGCAAAACATCACATTGGTCAAACTTGCAGTGATAATCACAGCTAGGGGGGTCCCTGATTTTTGAGCCCAAATTTCAGGGGAATATATACTTGTGTATGTGTTTTTATTATTTCTTCATTTCTAAAACAAATGGAATGACAGATTCTGAAACAACCATAACTCAGCTAGCATAACAGAGGTGTTCTGGAGACTTTTTCTAAGACCTCCCTTGGTATGATTGAGTAGCACAAGTTAAGAAGACAAGATGTCTGTTTTGGACAAGGCCTTAAAACTCTGTTGTCATCCATCCCATCCCCATTGAGAGAAGTAGGACTCATTCAACCCTTCCTCAGCAACAAACTCAGGGCTGTCTGAAACATTACCGATATTGGCTCGCCGCTTGATCTCCTTCCTCCTGTTGGCAAACCAGTTGTACACTTTGAGGGAGGTTACCCGCTCCAAGTCTGACAGCTTCTTCCCTGGGGAAAACAAACAAACAGACCAACACACCAGGTGAAAACACACTTTGTGCTCTCTGCATGGGTCCCAAGATGGCAGATACTGTGTTTCACCTATTTATAACAGGGGAGTTAAAGTGGTATCAAACTGCATTATTTCAACAGTGTAGATGCACCCCAAGCCTCCTTGTTACAAGCAGAGCAGAGCTGGGTAAAATCAGAACTTGGAGAGTTGTTTTATGTTCTTTCAGATTACTTGGTTTTTTTGTGTCTCCAAAAGGAATCAACTGATGTAGCTTATTATAAATTTGAATTTTTATTTATTTATTTAGCAATTTTGTATACCGGTCTTCTCCCCTCTATCGGGGGACTCGGCCGGTTTCCAACAATAAAATCACAAAACAATCATTAAAAACATCATATAACATATTCAATTAAAACGTTATAACAGCAAAATGCAATCACATAATAACAATGGTCAGTCGTCATAGTGAATTCGTTGTCCATCATTCATCGTCATCTATCCGATCACAGAAATATTGATTCACTCGTCGAAAGCCAAACCCCATAGCCAGGTTTTCACCCGTTTTCTGAATGACAGAATGGAGGGGGCAGTTCTGATCTCCAGTGGGAGAGAGTTCCAGAGTCGAGGGGCCACCACCGAGAAGGCCCTGTCCCTCGTCCCCACCAGATGCGCCTGAGAGGCCGGTGGGACCGAGAGCAGGGCCCCTCCAGACGATCTTAACAACCTTGATGGTTCATAGTGGAGAATCCGTTTGGACAGGTAAACTGGGCTGGAGTCATTTGGGGATTTATAGGTCAACACCAGCACTTTGAATTGTGCTCCGAAACTAATTGGCAGCCAGTGGAGCTGGCGCAACAGAGGAGTAGTATGCTCCCTGTATGCTGCTCCTGTTAGTAATCTGGCTGCCGCTCGTTGGACTAATTGCAGCTTCTGGGCAGTCTTCAGAGGCAACCTGATGTTCCAGAAACATTCTCTTCTGATGTTTTGCCCACATCTATGGCAGGCATCCTCAGAGGTTGTGAGTCTGTTGGAAACTAGGCAAGTGAGGTTTATATAACTGTGAAATGATGTCCAGGGTGGGAGAAAGAACTCTTGTCTGTTGGAGGCAAGTGTGAATATTGCAATTGGCCATTTTATTTGAGAACAAAAAAATGCTGGACCACTCTCACAACCACCATGTCAGACTACACAGAGAAAGCCCTGAAATCCACAAACATGTGGATAATTTCAACAGAAAGGAGGAAACCATGAAAAAAAACTAGCTACCAGTATCTAAAAAAACTCTAAAATCAGGACAGTAAATAAATAACAACATTCAGAAAACAGTGGGATTCCAGACAGGAACAATCAGAGCCAGCTAACACCTCCCAACAAAAGATACCCCCAAGCAGGAAACAGCCAGCTTTGAAGCTGCAAGGCCATTCAATGCTAATCAAGGTGGCCAATTGCAACATTCACACTTGCCTCAAGCAGACAAGAGTTCTTTCTCCCACTCTGGACATTCCACAGATATATAAACCCACCTGCCTAGTTTCCAACAGACCTCACAACCTCTAAGATGCTTGCCATAGATGTGGGTAAAACATCAGGAGAGAATGCTTCTGGAATAGGGCCAGACAGCCCAGAAAACTCACCGCAACCCAGGTATTCCACTCATGAAAGCCTTCAACAACACAAAGTGTTATTTCCTGTTTAACTGCGCGATCCTTACTTTGAAAGTAGTTGCTATACTCAAGGAACTCCCTTTTTGTGGCTGACACAAACTATGTTGAATTGCTTGAGACTCAATGAGACATTCATTGAAAAACTATAGCAAAATGTGCTATAGCAGCATGTCCCGCATAAAACAAAGTTTTGGCAGTTTAATAAACTTTTTCCATGTTTTTGTGATAGAACCAATTAGGAAATGACATTTATAACCCAGGAACAAAAATCATGTTACATATTGACCAGGTATAGCTCATTATTTGCCACTACTTTTAGTCCCTTTAAAAGGGTGGTCTGTGGCTGTTAAGTTGAAAAAATAAAATGACTATATTCCTACTTGTTTTATAACTTCTGAAATGTAAATTCCTTATGCCCCCAGCATTCGGAAAAGCAATCAATTACAGGTAGCTAGCTAACGTATAGCTCATTACTTCCCAGCTCTGGGTCAGACCAAAGGCATTTTCTAATCCAACATTTTATTTATTCACTCAATTTACATTCCACCTTTCTCCCAGGATGGGACCTGAGTTGCCTTAGAACAAAGTACAGCTCGAAAATCTGTCAATAGAGAAGTTTTAAAGCCATTAAATAACAGTCCTGCTAAAACATGAATATCGAACTGTTCAGTGCACATCCAAAGCATAGTAAAGAACATAAAAATATAGCATATACCATTAAAAAAACACTTCTGCCATAACCAGTTAACGGCTGAAGTCCTCTCTAAATAAAAAGGCCCTTGCCTGTTGGAGAAAAAAGCTTAGAGGAGCCAACCAAGGCTCATGTTTGAGGAAGACCAGGCTGTGGTGCAGCTAGTTAGTAGCCAGCTGCATTAAATCACTACTGACTGAGAGGTCATGAGTTTGAAGCCAGCCCGAGTCAGAGTAAGCTTCCCGACCATTAATAGTCTAGCTTGCTGTTGACCTATGCAGCTTGAAAGACAGTTGCCTCTGTCAAGTAGGAAATTTAGGTACCGCTTTATGCGGGGAGGCTAATTTAACTAATTTACGACACCATAAAACCTTCCAGCAGCATGCAGATGAATGAGGAAGTACTCCCATCAAGGACTCAGTGTCACAAGTGGACAGTGAAGTGACAGCTCCCCCTGTGGCCGGAATCGAGCATACCCTCATGAAGCTGGAAAGCTGGAATGTTAAATTAGCCCTGTGTCTGTCTATAGATGTTGTATGTCTATTGCACTGAATGTTTGCCATGTATATGTGCATTGTAATCCGCCCTGAGTCCCCTGCGGGGTGAGAAGGGTGGAATATAAATACTGTAAATAAATAAATAGATAGATAAATTCACCGTCTGGAAGTAGGAACCAAAAAGGCCCTCCTCTATATCTTCATTCTATGTACCTGTGACAGAAGTGAAACCAAGAGAAAGCATCCCAAAATCTTACAACTAAAATAAGTTATTTCAGATAATCTGGACCAGGCATACGCAAACTTGGGCCCTCCAGGTGTTTTGGACTTCAACTCCCACCATTCCTAACAGCCTCAGGCCCCTTCCTTTCTTTCCTTTCCTTTCCTTTCCTTTCCGCTTAAGTGGCTAAGGAGGAAAAGTAAAGTGCCTAAAGTCCAAAACACCTGGAGGGTCCAAGTTTGCCCATGCCTGGTCTGGACCCTTTTGCAATCCTCATTTGGCATCCCATGAAAGGATGGGATATATTTAAAAAAAAGCCCAATGTGTTGATTAGAAACCTTGGGAACAACTTGGGAGCCACAGGCTCTTTGTCAGACCTGATTTAAATTGATATCATAGTATTTTGACCTTATTAAGTCATTTCACATGTTATGTTTCCTTTTTCAAAAAATCCTCCTCCAAGAGGCAGGTAGGACTCTTTTTTATTCCATATACTTGATTTCTCTGTCACTTCCATGTCATGACTCCAACAGAAAATATCCAAAGTAAAACAGCTGAAACTCTCAATGAATCAGGACACTTTCCAGAGCAAAAACTAGGCTCTGACATGCATTTCAGAGTGTTTCCCATTTGTTTCTAAGTATACCCGCTGCTTTCTTGCTTCCAGACCACCTCTGACATAAGCAATGAACTAATAATTAAAGGGCAACAACAATTTGCTACAGCCACAGGGCCCTTTTAAATCCAGCCCCGCCACCATCGGTTTCCATACCTGGCTTTTGTATCACTGCATTACAGGCATTTGCAATTTCTTCCCTCTTGGCCTCATCAGGGTATTGATTCTCATTGAAATAGCTGCAGAAAAAGAACACATCATTTTTAGAGATCCAGCCTCTCCTCTCCATGCTAAAAACAAACAAACCACAGAGTTATCAGAAACTCTGGCTTGTGGGGAAACAAATATCACTGCCCTTGAAGATATGGATGGTATAGATTTGCTATTTTCAGAAGAAAGAGTAGTTCCCACCTTAGTTTTGTGCACTTCCTTGGATGTAAAGACATAATGTCCCAATTTTCGAAACATGGGCAATGAAAAAAGAGCTCATACATACATACCCTCCCTTTAATGGGCATCAACAGTCAGTTTCAGAATTAACTAGAGTTATGTAATTCCCCAATGTCAAAACTAATTGAGGTGGTATAAACCATGATTTGCAAATCCACTTAAAGCCATGATTGCAAACTATAGATTCCAAGACAGAACATATTCATCAAGTGTAGGAATAATCAAATCCGCAAAAGTTAAACCCACAAAAGGGAAGGGTTGACTGTAGTTGCGCATTGAAGGACAGCAATATTGCAACCCTGCAAAATATATGAGAAGTACTGTACTAAAATATATTATGAATCAAATATATATTTGGAGTAGAGTATTTGTACAGCTTTTAAAAATTAGTGAACCACAAATTAATGGGGGGGAAATGGGACGAAATTGAGATTTGGGCCGGCTTTAGCACAGCAGGTTAATCACCAGCTGCAATAAATCTTGCCAATCGAAAGGGTGACAGTTCGAAGCCGAGTCAGGGTGATCTTCTGACCTTCAGCCCAGCTCCCCCACCCACTTAGCAATCAAAAACAGTAATGTGAGTAGATGAATAGGAATCACATTAAGCAGGGAGGTATTTTAGGCACAGTATTTTGGGGAAAAGTTTACAAAATCTTTGGCAAGGAGATGGAGCAGAACTGATCACAGCTTCAAAGGATGCTGAATGATAAGGAACAGCCTAAATATACCTCTATCTGCTGTCTGTCTTATCATTGTATAATCAGCATTGAATGTTTGCCGTATATGTGTTCTGTGATAGGCCCTAAGTCCCCTTTGGGGTGAGAAAGATGGAATATAAGTACTGTAAACAAACTAACTAATAAATAAATTGTAAGATATGCAGGTCCAGCAAGTCAAAAGTTATTTACCTGAATCTAACAGCCTCTGTCCCTCATTCTAAGGAAACCCCGTAATTAGTCCTCCCTGTATCAATTTCTCCAATAAACAAACTATTCAGTCCCTACAGAAAAGTTCTTCCCATCATTCTACTAACAGTACAATTATGACCAGAGACATTTTAAAAATCCCATTATTTAGAATCACAGAATTCTAGAGTTGGAAGAGACTACAAGGGCCATCCAGTAACTTCCTGCCACACAGGAAGACATAATCACAGCATTGCCAATTGATGGTCATCCAGTCTATGTTTAAAAACTTCCACTGGACTCCCAGGCATCATATTCTGCAACTGAACAACTCTGCCAGGAAATTCTTCCTGAAATTTAGGTGAAATCTCTTCCTGCAATCTGAATCCATTGCCTCATGCATCCTAATCTCTTGAGCCTGTGCCATCTTCAATGTGACCACCTTTAGCTATCATATCACCCTTTATTTAACCTTCTCTCCTCTAACCTAAACATAGTCTGCTTCTTAAGTCTTTCCTCATAGGGATTCCTGGCTTCCAGACCATTGCTTTCTACTGCATACACTTCAGCTAGTGAATATCCTTCCAGAATTGTGTTTCCCAGAACTGAACCCAGGTAACACCTGACCAATGCCAAGTGGGACCACGACCTCCCTCAATCCACTCCTATTGATTCAGGCTAGGAATTGCATTGGCATTGACTCCTTGATCTACCCATGTTCATTTTTTCTTTAGACAAACCAACCTTTCCCATACCTTGCAAATAAAGTGTGCTGTTTATCAGCAACCTAGTAGTGAGAATATCACCACTGATCCATTGCTGAGGAAAAACTACCATTGATCTCTTGCGTATCCAATATGCAGTTTTTCTCAACCAAGCTGACCTTTCACATCCCTCAGACACCATACTGTTTATTAACATTACAGCACTGACCATACCACCTCCAACACCTCAATGCAGTGCTATGAATGGGAAGGAAGGAAGGAGGGGCACAGGTTACAGGTGGGTGCTCCCACAACAACAGAAACAGCCCCTTGTTCCAAAACCTTTTCTGCACAACTCTTTGACTCTTTTGAGCTCAGAACTGCTTTGAAGCACTTAGGCACAGGGATAGATAGGCGGGGAGAGAAAAAGGAAGAACAGAGTGAATGATTGCAAAGGGCTGGGGATAAACCTCCGGCAGATGCAATTGTGCTTTCTAGACAAAAGGCACCCGTCAGCACAGCGATGGCTGATCAGGGAGGGAGTCAAACGATCCCCTTTGTACTGGGCGACAGTAAAGGATTAAAATGAAAAGTGGCTGGAATATGTGAGCTGGGTGCGAATGCGCAGGGATGGTGAGAAGATTGAAATATCCTTGAGGCGGTTTCATTTTGACAATGCCATGGGGCTGAAAAATACTGCCGGCTCGGTGGAATCTGTGCCATTAGGGCTCAACATGAGCAGAGCAGCAGGAAAGTGCATGGCAAGCCCTCTATATACATATATACATATATACATAAATGTTTATGTGAGAAGCAGGTGGTATTTTATTAGGGGGTAAACATCACCAATCACCTTGCATACCCAACGTTCCCAACAGAATCTGCCTATTCCCGTTCTTCTCTGAAGATAGAAACACTGAAGAAACAGTCTAATGTAGTCTCCAGCACTGGTTTGGACAGCCTGCTTCTCTAGATGCAGCAGTTTGGGCCACCAACTCCCTGAATTCCTGGCCTTTAAACCAGTTGGCTAGGGCTTCTGGGAGTTGGAGGCCAAAACATCTGGAAGACTGCAGGTTGCGCAAGCCTGACCTGGAGAATCCTAGACATAACATTTTGAATCAAATCCACGATAACTTTGCAAAAGTCAAAAACAGAAAGAGCAACATCACTTGTGGGACTCCCCAAGCAATATATGGGTTCAAAGGCACCCTCCCTATTAAATACCATATATACTCGAGTATAAGCCGACCCAAATATAAGCCGCGGTACCTAAATTGACACAAAAAACTGGAAAAACGTATTGACTCGAATATAAGCCGAGGGTGAGAAATGCAGCAGCTACTGGCATATTCACAATAAAAATAGATAACAATAAAATTACATTAATTGAGGTATCCATAGGGTCAATGTTTTGGAATACCTACATAAAACTGTAATTTAAGTTAAGACTGTCCAACTCTGATTAAACCATTGTTCTAATCTTCTTCAATGTAAATGTGCTTAGTGCTTACGTATTCTTCCAATAATAACAGAGTTAAATAAAACATGTAATAAAAATAATAATGATAGAGTGAAACAATGGAAATGTAATAATAGCAGTAATAATAGAGTAAAATAATAAATGTAATAATCATAATAATAATAATAATAGAGTAAAATAATAGCTAACTTTGACTCATGTATAAGATGAGGGGGATTTTTTCAGCCCAAAAAAAGGGCTGAAAAACTAGGCTTATACTCGAGTATATACAGTATCTATAGTGGGCCCTTGGTATCTGCCAGGATTTGTTCCAGGACCCCATTGGAACAGATGCGGAAGATGGACCAAACTTGTCTTCTGCTGCTCCGATAAATAGAAAAGACAAGAAAAGAGATGATGCTAAGACATCATGAGTAATGTCTTGAATGTAAGAGCGGTTCAACAGTAGAAGAGATTGCCTTGGAAGGTGGCAAAATTTCCATCTTTGGAAGTTTTCAAACAGAGATTAGTGGGAATCTTAGATATGTTTCCATTTGTGTATTCCTGCATGGCATTGGACTAGATGTCTCTTGTGGTCTCTTTGGGTTTGAAGATTCAATGAAGTATTGGGCTTATCCATGTTGAGGCTGAGATTCGTCTGGAATGGGGCAGGCCAGAAATGGGAATGAATAAATAATTACTTCCAATTTCAGCCTACATTCGAAGCATTGTGCAAAACCACATTAAACGTTCTTCCTTTCAACAATCAAGCCTTATTCCAAAGAGTAGAACACAGGTGATGTGTTTTGAAAGAGGGAGTAGGCAAAGGAAGGATTGGTCCTGCAGGTCAAGAGAAGGTAGAAATGCCTGCTGTTGTTGCAGAAGCAAAGCCGGGCTGTCCTCGCATTGCAGTTCTCTAGACCACACCCTGGCTGCAGCTTAAATATAGATGTTCACTCACTGGTGCTGCTGCTGCTTCTCTTTAACCTTTGGGTCATAAATATTCCAAGCAAAATTTGGTTAAGGGAGGGAGAAAGAGAGATGGAAGAGAGGAAGTTTCTGAATCTATGTTACCAGAAAAAAAGAACACTAAACAGCCAATAATATGCGCTGGGAGGAATTCCAAAGCACGCAGAGGGAGGAGAATTGAATTATAAATGGCTACTGATTCTTAAGCAGGCAGCGCTCATCCAGCAGAAGGGAGAATACATAGAATCATAGAGTTGGAAGAGACCTCGTGGGCCATCCAGTACAACCCCCTGTCAAAAGGAAGAAAATTGAACAAGATGATTGTAGGAATATAAGAGATATCTGTTACAGGACAAATGCAACCAAGTGATCAGAAAGCCATTGTACTGACCTACAGATCCCAGCTGGGGGTGGAATAAGGATTGTTATGAGTCCGGCACATATATGGGTGGCCTTGGAGAATGAAGCTTTCCCCAAACACAGCTCAGTTTGGACACAGAGCACTCCAGATACAACTCCCAGCATACCTCACTATTGGCAAGGGACACTGGGAGTGGCAATCCTATAACCACATGTTAACGGATCCAGCCTTACGTGGGAGAAGCCTTTTCCTCTGATACAAACACACACACTACCAGAGAAGACACTTGCCAACAACTTTGGCCTCCCAAAAACTAACCCTTGTAAGCTGCATTTGGCATAAAGTATAGTCGACATCAACTCAGTTCATCCGAAGCATTAGGAGCCTACGGTGGTGCAATGGGTTAAACCCTTGGGCTGGCAGAACTGTTGACCAAAAGGTCAGTGGATCGAATCCAGGGAACGGGGTGAGTTCCCATCTGTCAGCTCCAGCTTCTCATGCAAGGACATGAAAGAAGCCTCCCACAGGATGGTGAAACATCAAACATCCAAACATCCCTGGGAAAAGTCCTTGCAGACAACCAATTCTCTCACACCAGAAGCAACTTGCAGTTTCTCAAGTTGCTCCTGACGTGAAAAAAAAAATCAGAAGCATTGATATAGTCTCTACTAAAATATATAAATTTGTCACATTAAAGGTGTGAAATTCAACAGGTGAGACTTTAAGGCACTCTAGACTTTTTAAACTGCTGTTACTTCCCCAACTCTAGAAATTTTGTTGGTTTATTAATAGGAGCTCCAGGATCAAATAAACAGCAGATAAGTGTTAAAGGTCCTTGCAGATCCTCCCATGTGATATGTACCCTTTAATGTTGGACATCAACCTTAGAGTAATGTCTACCAGTCTGGATTGGCCAAGCCCTTGACTCAGCCACGCACCTTTCCATGACGGCCAGGCACTCCTTTCTCCAGGTGAACCGGCTGCCCCGCCGTAAGCGGAAGGTCCCCGAGGTAGCTGTGACTGGGGGAGGCGTCTGCCTCCATTCTGGTTCCTCCACTGGGATGGGGGCCGGCCTCATGCTTAATGTCGCCCCTGGAAAAATGAGATAAGACAGTCATTTGTCTATAGAACCAAGTAAATCGCTCTGAGAAGAAGCAACAATTGTAGGAATATTTGGTATCAACAGCACAGTGGACTATATATGAGTTTATGGTAAGAAAAGAAGCAAAAATATGTGGGATGCTCTGGTAAGGTTAAAAAAAAGAAAAACTCACTTTTATTGCTTCAGGTAATACATCTAAGATAAAAGAGTAGATAGACAAGAGTCCCTAATGCTGACTCTCTCAAGTCTTTGGGTAAGGCATCTTGAGGAAGAGAGAAACAGCATGATGCTTCCTTCTCAAGCAAAGGGGAAGAAAGCACTGAAGACTTTGGAGAGGAAAGGGGAAATGGACTCTACATGCAGGCAGGAAGCAAAACACCTTGAGACATAAAGACCTAAGAAACAGACAGCAGGCCTATATAGAGCTATTAGGTACATTCCCTCTGTACCTAATAGTGTTGATGTGTCGATGTGCAGATGCTGCTTCACTGGCGAGAACAACTCCCAAAGGGAAAGAGACTTGTTCCCATTCAAAATAAAGAAGAAAACAGAAAAGCCAACAGATTTTCCCTTTCCATGGGAGAAGCTGCGGAGTCCATATCAAGGGCCTCCATAAGAAAGCAACATAGCTGCAAATTCACCTAATGAATGTAAGCAGTAGCTCTCTCCCAATTCTTCTTTCCAAACAAGGAAGAATTCTGAACGGCAAACACAACCCTGGATGACAAAGTTAGGAAATGGGAACACCTTGGTCAACATCCATTCCCTAGGTTCCTTTTTGTGGCCTCCCAATCCCTCAATATGCTCTGTTCCACCCTTTTTCTGGCCAAAGGAGGGGAAAGAACTGTCTAGCTAAGAAACACAATTCAGAATAGGCCTTTGGCACTTTATTCCTGCATTGTTTATCACCAAATCATCTTCACAGCCATAGTGATTTTTTTCCAAAGCTTTAAGTAGAATCCTGACTTTTTGTAAGATTTTTAGGGTTGCTTTTTGGCAGTCTGTGCAGACCCTTGGAGGACTCCAGAGGCAGAAGACTGGTGCCTGTGGCCTCACTGAAGTTGTCTACCCAGTGCCAGAAGCTGTTGACAAACTGATGTGTGGATGATTTGTTAGCTTAACCCAGGGGTCCACAAACTTTTTAAACAGAGGGCCAGGTCACAGTTCCTCAAACTGTTGGAGGGCCGGATTATAATTTGGAAAAAAATGAATGAATTCCTATGCATACCACATATCTTATTTGTAGTGCAAAAATCACTTAAAACAATACAATAATTAAAATGAAGAACAATTTAACAAATATAAACTTATTAGTATCTCAATGGGAAGTGTGGGCCTGCTTTTGGCTCATGAGATAGGATTGTTGTTGTTGTTGTTGTGTGCTTTCAAGTCGATTCAGACTTAGGTTGACCCTGAGCGAGGGCTGGGTAAATTACCTTGGAGGTCCGCATCCGGCCCCTGGGCTTTAGTTTGAGGACCCCTGGCTTAACCAATCATCAATTTAATGAATGGTTTCAAGACATTGGAGGCAGCTCTTCAACCTGCCATCTTTCTTTGCCCAGCATCACTCAACCCATGCCTTTACAGTCAGCAGATACCCAGGTTGTTACAAGAGTAAAGTACAACCTGCCCTCCACCTTTTCCAGGTTAGGTGAGCAAGACTCACACAAAAATGCAAAACCCACAAATAAAAAACCCTACATTTTTTAAGCTGAGAGAATATATCTGTAGGACTGCCTGGATTCTCCAGCAAATCTCAATGGGTCAACTGCTGGCAGAAAGATTTGTTCAGAGAGAGTGCCAGCAACATTCTTAATAGACTAACCTCTATGCATTTGATAAGTAGTAAAATAGACTTTTTTCAGGGTTTATGTTTTTTTTAACTGCAAAGGTTTTGGAAAAACTGAAAAATGTATACGTAGTCAGCCCTCTGTATCAACAGCTTTTGTACCAGAGATCCCACCATTCACATCTTGAAGATATTCAAAGAGGCAAACCTTGACTTTGGAATTTTATATATGAGAATTTTTTTCTAGGCCATTGTATATCATCATGGGGCTTGAACATCTATTGAAAATTCCTTTGCTGTGTTAGGAACACACAATACTTCATGCATAGCTAGACATAGCTATCAAGACCTTGCGTCTAACAGCAACCAGACGCAGAGCCTTTACAGCAGTGGCACCATCACTCTGGAATACTCTGCCACCTGAAGTCCGTGCCTTGCGGAACTTATCAGCTTTCCGCAGGGCATGTAAGACTTATCTGTTTCGACAGGCCTTTGATCTTTGATATTGCTGTTTTTAAATTGTTTTTAAATTGTGTTCGATTTTAGCCTGTTCTTGTAAGCCGCTCCGAGCCCCAGGGGAGTGGCAGCATATAAGTTCGAATAATAAATAAATAAATAATAACATCACATTTAACATACTAAACTACCATTTGTTCATAATATAATTACTAATGGAATATGTATGCATGTATATTTGTATGTTTGCTAATAGAGCTGACAAGTTCTGACCTGTAAAGAACATCTGGACCATAAGGAACCGGTTTATGGGGAGCAGACAAAACCAAGCAACCAAAACCAGAAAAAAATAATTCACATTTATATATGATCCTCATAAACTTGATAGTGCCAGCAGATAAAATAAACATATTGCCATAAAAAGAACTGAGGAAAGAAAACTAAGACCAGGATTAGCAGTGACATGATATACCATACAGAAAATTCTTACACAAAACTTTATCTGCTACCTGTTGTCTCTGGGATAACAAGTTGGACATGAGCCAACAGTGTGATGCAGCAGCGAAAAAAGGCAATGGGATTTTGGGCTGCATCAAAAGGAGTCTAGTGTGTCTGGATTGAGGGAAGTCATGGTGCCTTTGTATTCTGCTTTGGTTAGACCTCACCTGGAATACTGTGTCCAATTCTGGGCACCACAGTTCAAAGACATACTGGCAAGTTGGAAGGTGTCCAGAGGAATGTGATTAAAATGATCAAAGGTCTGGAGACCGAGCTCTATGGGGAATGTCTTCAAGAACTGGGCATGTTTAGCCTGGAGAAGGGAAGACTGAGAGGAGACATGAAAGCCATGTATCAATATGTGAAAGGGTGTCATAAGAAATAGGGAGCAGACTTGTTTTCTGCTGCCCTGGAAACTAGGACTAGGAGCAATGGGTTCAAATGACAGGAAATCAGATTCCACCTGAACATTAGAAAGAACTTCCTGATCATTCGACCTGCTCAACAGTGGAACTCTCTGCCTCAGAGTCTGGTGGAAGCTCCTTCCTTGGAAACTTTTAAACAGAGGCTGGATGGCTATCTGTCAGGGATACTTTGATTGTGCTTTTCCTGCATGGCAAGGGGTTGGAATAGATGGCCCATGTGGTTTGCCCCAATTCTGTTGTTGGTAGGGTTCAGAATGCTCTTTGATTGTAGGTGAACTATCAATCCCAGTAACTACAACTCCCAAATGTCAAGGTCTATTTCCCCCAAACTCCATCTGTGTTCATATTTGGGCATATGGAATATTTGTGCCAAGTTTGGTCCAGATCCATCATTGTTTTGAGTCCACAGTGCTCTCTGGATGTAGGTGAACTACAACTCCCAAACTCAAGGTCAATGCCCACCAAACCCTTCTAGTGTTTTCTGTTGGTCATGGAGTCCTGTGTGTCACGTTTGGTTCAATTCCATCATTGGTGGAGTTCAGAATGCTCTTTGATTGTAGGTGAACTATAAATCCCAGCAACTACAACTCCAAATAACAAAATCAATAAATTTTGAGTGAAGGACATACATTGGGTTGTTAGGTATATGCTGTCCAAATCTGGTGGCAATTCGTCCAGTGCTTTTAGAGTTATGTTAATCCCACAAACAAACATTACATTTTTGTTTATATAGATTCTAAGAGAAAATATTCTATAATGAACCCTAGGAGAAAATGTGTGAGGGGAAAAAGATCTCCCCTGATTTTTCCAGTTCTTTATATCTCTTTCTCTGTATATAAATATAATTTCTAGCATCCCAAGAGGATTCCAGCCCATATAGGCAACTCCAAAGGTACCTCTGAACCGATTCAGATTCAGGGTGGGGCTTTTTTCAAAAAAGAGAAAACTTGGTGCAAACACAGAAGGGTATGCGGCAAGGTAAAAGAGCCAGCCTTTGAGGTTCCCAAGTCGACCTCCTTCTCTCAGGGGAACAACTTGACACTCAACTTCAAAGCAAATTGGGGGAATGAAATTCTGCCCTGCTTAGCATCCAGGTAACAGATGCAAAGTGATTCTAGAAGACAAGCATTTCAAAGATGCTTCTTAGTTAAAAGGAAGGCCAAAAAAAAATCTATAAATTTGCCTCTGCCATACGTCTGCTTTCATGTAAATCATTTATTGACAAGGTCTGCCTTCGGAATACTAAATATGCTTCCTCCTCCCCACCTGTCTCTGAATATGTCAGCAGCATCCATGCAGCAGGAAGGCCAAGAGATGACCTCATTTGGCCACAGCCCCAAAAGCGTGACTGGTTCAAGGCCCTCTTCGACCCCAACTCTGGCAACTCTACCATCCTGGATCCTCAGCAAAAGGGGAACAGCATCCATCTGAGATGCCAAAAATTATCCATGGTTCAAGGAAAGTGTACAGCACGGATGGGTAACCACCACTCTTTGAGCCCCTTCTTGGCCTAAGCCAGTAGTTCTCAACCTGTGGGTCCCCAGATGTTTTGGCTTACAACTCCCAGAAATCCCAGCCAGTTTACCAGCTTTCTGGGAGTTGAAGGCCAAAACATCTGGGGACCCACAAGTTGAGAATCACTGACCTAAGCAATAAAGCAAGGCATGAGCAAACTTGGGCCCCTCCAGGTGTTTTGGACTTTAACTCTTATGATTCCAAACAGCTGTTAGGCTGTTAGGAATTGTGGGAGTTGGAGTCCAAAACAACTGGAGGGCCCAAGTTTGCCCATGCCTGTTATAAAGGCATTCTTGAAGGGTAAAGCCAGAGATTAAAACCCTTCCATGATTCCACACCACTGAGCCATGACAATGCAAGTGGTGTTAAATTACATTAAATCTGTTGCAGTGGTTCTCAACCTGTGGGTCCCCAGGTGTTTTGGCCGACAACTCCCAGAAATCCCAGCCAGTTTACCCGCTGCTAGGATTTCTGGGAGTTGAAGGCCAAAACATCTGGGGACCCACAGGTTGAGAACCACTGATCTATAGTGTAAATGCACTGAATCAAATCAACCGATTTCATTTTACTCAACCGGTGAGAATTCAAGACTCTCCAGAGTTGCCGTGCATGAAAGCAAGAGACTGCAACTATACACGTTGAGTGGACATCAACATGAGAATCATGTGACCCTCCAGATGTGGCCCAGCTGCTGTTTCCAGCATTCCTCACCACTGGTTATGTCAGCTAAGGACGCTGAGATCTGCGGTCCAATAACATTTGGAGGGCTCCGTGATTTCCACCCTTGTACTAAACATTGAACTTAATAGGGAGTTCTTTCTCTCTAAATATCATAAAAGCGGTGTGATAAATTGATGTATGTACTCTTGAATAAATTAACCTCAAATATAAGTCGAGGGCAACTTTGGGGGAAAACATTATGAGTTCTTATATGACTTGTGGATACGTCATTCCATGGAAAGGGGAAAGTACCAAGGTTGTCTCAAGGGAGCATCTGCTTTTGGCCCCCACTGCAATTTTCCTGGCCAGGCATTTAAAGAAGTCTTTTGTCACTCTACTCAGAGAAGGCGATGGTTGATTTTTTGATAAGAGTTAAAGTATAGTACTTAAACTGACTCATGGATAAATCTACCAAGTTTTGTTTTTTTTTTAACTAAAAATTCTAGACTTATACACAAGTACACAGTATTGTAGGGTTGACTTTTAAAGATTTGATTATTCACATTTTTTTATTTTGATTATTCACAAAGTAAAATCTTCTCCCGAGAAGTCTTTAGGTCTTCTAGTGCATTTCTATAGTCAACTTCTGTTGACCACAGTGTCATGCTGGAGAACCCAGAGATTCCAAGAGAGAAGTAATACAAAACCCAGCATGTTTTTAGTTGCAGTTTTTCACTATGCCCTTAATCTCAGTTAATGTGAAAAGATGACTGTATAAGGTTTTGATAATAATGGTAATTCCGTGCCAAACTATAGAGCTGAATAATCTAGATCTTCTAGCACAGTCTATGGGTTGCCTCACTGAAACATAATTATCTTGCTCTAGCTCTCAAAAAGACCCACACACACCAGGAAGAGTAAACAAAGACCTGTTGTCATTTTTGGAGCTCTGTGGCAATTTTTTCTGCCACCAGTCAAAGAGATCTTTTGTCAAACAGTATAATTGACATTCAAACAAAGAAGAACATGGGACCAGGTCCAAGAAGAATGGTCCAATGTTTTTCTTTTATTAAAAAGAACCCATGCAGGCACTTGTTGCCCCGTGTTGCAGGCCAAAGCTATCACATCTCTGAGTCTGCGGTGGCTGGAAAAAGAGACAGAGAGCATTGCCAAGGTTGCTCACTGAGCTGACCGGCCACCCCTTTGCCAGCCAGACTAATCAGGCCAGTCCTAATGGATTACCATTCCTGATGTCAAAGCGTGGGTAATCCAAGATCTGTCAGGGTGACCCAGAAGTCTATCAGTGCAGCAAGATTCAAGTCCAAAAACTACACTTCTTTGAAGGGCTGGCCTTACAAAAGGCCTAGAGAAAAAAATGTTACTTCCTGATGCCATGTTGAGAGGGAAGGCTGAGGAAAACTGCTTGGGTGCTTTTAGGGTGAGGTAAGGCATTTTTGTGCACTTTCACATGTTTGGGAGACTTTCCGAGTGGCTATTGGATCAAAAATTGAGAGGATTGTGGGACGTTGTCAGATACAAGTTATGATCTCCTGGAGTCATAAACTATGGACAACACATAATCCATGAGCCACAGTTCACCCACCCTTATACCCGACTACCAATGGAGCTATCCATGGTGCTGGAAGGGGACTCTAAGATTCAACTTTTAGGTGATTTTTTCTAATGGTCAAGCTACAACCCAGAATGGATTCACTGTCCCACTGACATGGAAACCATCAGTTTCTGCAGCATAGAGTTATTCTTCACTTCACTTCACTTTATTTCTTAATTAGTCGCTCTCCACCAAGGTGCTCCGAGCGACTTACAATTTAAAATAGCATTTACACAATATAAAAACATTCAACATAAAAACATACAACAGTGACTATTTGGCAAATTAGATCTGATCACTTTACTTAAATGCACAACCAAACAGCCAAGTCTTGAGCGCCATTACAAAAGGTTGCAACTCCGACATTGCTCTAACATATGGAGGCAATGAGTCCCACAGAATTGGAGCACAGATCGAAAAAGCTCTACGCCTTGTAGCTTCCAGGTGTTCCTTTATTCTAGAGGAACCCACTTGATTCAAAAGGAACCTTTTGTCTTTACCAGTTCTCATGACTTGCTATCTTTAGGAATCCAGGCAAATATCTACCTTTCTACTTGCTTCCTATCCAATCTGGCTTTCTCCAAGGAATAGTATTTGAGAGTGGTTTCAAGATTATTAAACACCAGATATGATTTTAACGAAACAAATTACAAAGTTAAACACAACTCAGTCATCTACAACAATAGGAAAGAGTCCAGCACTCTAGCCCAGCTCACACCCATTAAAATATCTTTCATAGAATCAAAGAGTTGGAAGAGACCTCATGGGCCATCCAGTCCAACCCCCTGCCAAGAAGCAGGAAAATTGCATTCAAAGCACCCCCGACAGATGGCCATCCAGCCTCGAATGGCCACCCAGCCTCTTTCCTACACAACCAACCACCAAAAGAAGAAGGGTAACTTGGGGAGGTTTAATACTCAAGAGTTAAGAGTCAGGCTTTTCCAAATGAAGTTCTCTGTTTGAGAACATGCAAAATCTATCTCAAAGAACCAGGAAATAAACTCGAACATCTAATGCAATGCCACAGAGATACAAACCATCTACTATTGCAGCATGCCTGTTAGGCAGCTACCCAAGCAACTCATTTTTTAAAAATGTGCAATGAGAAAGTGTCCGGTAGCTTCCAAGGCACTCTCTCCTACTATAAAACAACTCAAGCCATCAAGAAGTGGTTGAAGGCTTTCATGAATCACTGGGATATTGTGAGTTTTCTGAGCTATACGGCCATGTTCCAGAAGCGTTCTGGAACATGACCATACAGCCAAGAAAACTCAAAGCAACCCATCGAGAAGTTCATTGGGAGAGGAAAAAATTCCCCGAAAAAGTGCTAGACTCTGCCACCATGATATTTTTTTTTTGTAATGAAACAACAGTGACACCTCATGGCAAGCAAATGCGTAGTGATACAATGCCAGCCACTGCACTTCTTTTTGTTCAGTTAATCTTGCTGCTCTTAAATTGCAGTTTTTCTGTCAAAGGTGGAAGATGGGAAGGGTGCAGTTTTTGCCACTGCAGTCTCCCCCAACAGTTTAAGCCCAAAATGAGAAGAACTAAAACTGGAAATGATTTGTTTGCATTTTTGACCAATGTTCTTTGTTGGAGATTTTTGAGAGCTGTTCACTCTAAAGCATTTGGAGGGCTATAGGGACTTGAAAGGGTGCTGAGGGGAGGGGGTCGCATAAATCCCTGGCCCTATAGTATACCCACCGTTCTCATCAGCAGAAGCACCCAAGACCCCACAGTAGCAAAATCCCTGCCCTTGACCCTCCTGGTCTTTGTCTATCTGAAAAGAGCATCTCTAACAAGAGTCTCTAGAGCTTTGTGCCCCTTTGCCAACCCCACCCAATTCCCATTTCCAAAAGAGGACATCAACCGGGGAGGGGAGGAGAGAGTAGGGGAGGGGGTTCCATGCCGACCGAAGCACGATGAAGCCAACAACACTCACAGCCGCTGGGCAAAAGGTTTGGTTCAGAGGGAACGGACGGAATGTCTCGGCTTGGTTTTGTTTACCGGGGTTTGTCTTCTCAAGCTGGTACCATCGGTAAAAGGCCCTTTTCTTTTGTTCGCTCAGGTCCGATCCCTGTTGCAACAACCAATGGGAGATCCGACTCTGACTGATCCCTGCAGGAAAGAGACAAAGAGAGAGAAATAGGAGAGGAGGTCGTGGCTTTTCCACTCACAAACATTAAATAAAAACATTAAAGCCAAAGCAAGGCTGCCCACAAGATTCCAGGTAGGATTGGCTGACTAATGTCAGCTTGGCTTCAAATGGGGAACTCAATACCCCGAGAATACTGGCCTAATTCCTGCTATTATTCCTAAAACCAGAGCAGCTCCCTGGAATTGCTAACAAAACTACAGATGTTCTGGAGTCCCCAGTGGCACAATGGGTTAAGCCCTTGAGCCAGCAAGGCTGAGGACCTGGTCAGTGGTTCAAATCCGGGAAGAGCAGGTTGAGCTTCCTCTGTCAGCTCCAGCTCCCCATGCAAGGACATGAGAGAAGCCTCCTACAAGGATAGTAAAACATCAAAACATCCAGGTGTCCCCTGGGCAATGACCTTGCAGATGACCAATTCTCTTGCACCAGAAGTGACTTGCAGTTTCTCAAGTCGCTCCTCACACACAAACACAAATGCAGATGCTAGGATCAGGAATCAAAATGACTTTGATATTTTGGAGAACTAGATCAAAACTAAAAAAAAATATGGATTTCAACAAGGATATCTAAAAGGTACTACATACAGGCAGGAAATATTAAAAGCATAAATATAAGATGGTTGAAAACTGACTTGAATGCAGTAAACGCAAAAAAGGATCTACGCTTCTTTGTAGGTAAAGGTAAAGGTAGTCTCCTGACATTAAGTCCAGTCATGTCTGACTCTGGGGTGTGGTGCTCATCTCCATTTCTAAGCCGAAGAGCCGGCGTTATCCATAGACACCTCCAAGGTCATGTGGCCGGCATGACTGCATGGAGCGCCGTTACCTTCCCGCCAGAGCGGTACCTATTGATCTACTCACATTTGCATGTTTTCAAACTGCTAGGTTGGCAGAAGCTAGGGCTGACAGCGGAAGCTCACGCCTCCCCGGAATCGAACCTGCGACCTTTCGATCAACAAGCTCAGCAGCTCAGTGCTTTAACCCACTGCGCCACCGGGGGCCTTCTTTGTAGACCACAAGCCAAACATGACATAACAGAAAAAAAAAAAAAAAAAAGCCAATACAATTGTAAGCTGAATAGATGACTAGTGTCCAGGTCAATAGAAATAGTAATGTCACTCGATTCTGCTTTGGCCAGACCTCACTTAGAATGCTGTGTCCAATTCTGGGCATCACACCACAAGAAGATTGATAAACTGGAACATATCGAGAGAAGGACAACCAAGATGTCCAGAAGTTTCAAAACCAAATCTGACGAGAAATTACTGGAGTAGTTTTGTATGTGTAGCATGGAGAAGACTGAGAGGTGATGTGATAGATAACGAAACATCTGAAAAGGTATCCTGTAGGAAATGGAGAGAACCCATTGCTTGCTTCTCCTGAGACTAGAAAGCGAAGCAATGGATTCAAATCACTAGAAAGAAGATTCAAACTACATATATAAAAAACATTTTGACTGCAATTGTAGTTCTGCTGTGTTGGAGGTTGATAGACTCTCCTTCTTTGGAGGTCTAGAAACTGAAGTTCGATGACCACCTTTCAGAATGCTTTCTATCTGCATTACTATGGTAAGGAGTTGACCTGCTTCTTAAATTGTGGATCCGACCCCTTGTGATCCCTTCAGCTCTAAGATTCAACTGGACTCACTGAACTATTGAGTCAATGGATCTATTCTAGCTGTAACAAACCACTAAGATGCAGGCTGTCAAATTTTACCTAATGAAAACAAGACAACTAATGTGACATAATAATTAAGAAACTGAACTCAACTTTAAGAGATCCAGGTTCTATCTCCAATTAAGCCACGCAGCAATTGAGGACTTTGGGCCCACCATGATCTTCCAGCCTGATCTACCTGATCATGTTGCTGAGAAGATATTGTTGTAGGGAAAAAGACGCATATGCCACTTTGCACAGAAAAACATGGTGTATTAATACAACACATAAGTAAAAAAAAAACCAACTTTCTGGTCAAAAGTAAATTGGGTGAGTGTATCCATATCAGCTCAGAATATAAAGAGACGAGGTTCAACAAAGCAGTGGGTTTCTGGCTTCATAGAAGCATAACAACTGGCATAGGCCAAAAAGCAGACCCCTGCAGAGAAGAGATACCCCTGAACAAACATATAGAACAAACTATGGATTCAATAGTGACTATGGATCTTTATATTTATTGTTATTGTTGCTGCTACTGTTATATTTATTATTATTTCAGTATATTTATTTATATCTCACTTTCCTCTCTCAAAGAGACTCAAAGTGGCTTATAGTTACACCACAGGAGGACAACTGCAGCATGGGTGGGAGCATTCAACCTCCCCAACCCACCCTTGTGGGTCACAACGTAATAAGAAGTGATATTATGTCACTTCACATTCCAAGAATTGGTTGAAAAGCAACTGGTTTTCAGAGGTTTTGGGATGAGTGATGACCAAAGGGTCCCAGATCTCCTGACTTTTGAGCCACTTTTGGATTTTTAAACATTTTTCAGCCCAATTTTCAGCCAGAAGTTGACCACAAAAACATACTGGAGAACCTAGTTTCCTAAAGGTGTAAAAAAAAACCCCTCATATTTATTTATTTGTGGTTTTCCCATTTTTGGGGGGATTCACCAAAATGTGGAGGACTAATTATAATCTTTAATCGCATGGTGAACATCTGCTTAATACATTGTTCTTGTAGTGTATACATATCCCTCTGGGAACACGACAATGATATTACTGTAGTTGCTACATTCAGATATATGCTGGTTGTGGTGGCACCAATGGGGTATTTCATAGCTCGTGCCTTTATGTGGGATCAATGGCAATCCCCAACATGTCTACAATAGGAATTCTCAGTACTCAAACTCTAAAAACAAGAATTCATCCTTAGACTGAAAGGTTGGTGACATCTTCAATTTTAAAAATCAGACAGGAGTTGCAGATTGAAGGTGGTTGCAGTTGAAGATCAAAAGATGAGACTTGTTTATCTTAGTACAGAAACTCTTTCAGGAGAGTTACGAAATAAGTTACGAAATAAGAAGCAGTCCCCACTACCACCAACTGAATAGTCTGGATGTCTTTGAGATGGAACACATCCGATATGCATGACAAAAACTCCAGCCGTTGTTGTTATTATTAATAATAATAATATAAAAGGCTTTGAGCTCTCCAGTTGAAGAGAGCTAATTTCCAAGTGACATTACTGTGATTAATTGCTCCAACCGCCCGCAAAGATAGACAACGGCAGGGTGGGGAAGAGCAGAACGATGTCCTATAGGATATTATGAACACGTCCACCAGGAAACGGAATGACTCACTCGGCCGTTCATTTTGTGCTGGTCAGAATGATCCAGACACACACACACACACACTCATAATGCGCAAGACCTGGTAGTAAATAGCAGTTTAGTCACTATACAGTTCTGGTTGGTTCAGAGAAACAGTCCTATCTTTATAAGATTGGTCTCACTGAAAGAGAAGGAGAAAAGGAGGTGTATTTTTGGAGGAGCTTGAAGAAAAATCAGAAAATGATATCAGAAAGGATGTATAACTATGATAAATGACACACTAGAATAATTACATTGTCAAAACACTTTTGAAATGGTGTGCGTTTCAAATCAGTTTAATGCTTCCCCTTGTGGAGCCAGGCAGGTTGGGAAGACTCCCATCCTTATAATGGTGCATGGTTATCTATTCAAGCCACATGTTGGCTTATGGTGAGTCCATGAATTTCAAAGGGCTTTCTTAGGCTAAGGAATACTCAAAGTGGTTTGCCATTGCCTTATTCTTAAACATTCCGCAAAGCAATATTTCCCAACCTTTTTTTGACCAGGGACTACTTGACCAGGGACCACTTTGACCAGGTAACACTCTTCAACGTTAGTTCCAAAAGGGTTACAAATCAGTTTCTGGTCAAACTTTAGGTTGGTTTGGTTATTTGGGGTGCTGATTCAGAAAATTGCTTTGGATAGACCAAATATCCAAACCAACCTCCAATACAGAACATATGCCATCCAGTAGTTGCCATCTGCACACTCACAGAAGATCATATTTAATAAGCCTTGGCAACGTAAGAGGGTTTTGCAAGACCAGTTACTCTAGTTGCAACAGTGTAGTAACGGTGAGTCCACGAACCATATTTTAGTTCTTGTGGACCACTGTTGCTCCATGGACCACAGGTTGGGAACCATTGCCCTAAAGCCTATGGTGTTCATTGGTAGCCTCCATCCAAGTCTGAACCAGCCCTGACCTTCTTAGCTTCCAAAATCAGACAAGATCTGGTGTCTTTGGGGGTTTTAGGCCAAAAGGTTGTATTAAAGGAGGAATTTCAGCATGTATTGCTTGCATGACAAACAGTTTTGTTGTTATTCCCCAAGCCATTTCCAACCCATGGTGACCCTAAGGTTATCATGGGGTTGTTTGAACATAAGAGTGTGTAAATCAATGCTCAAACCACTATGCAACACTGGCTCATAGCATGCAATACCTGCTGAAATTCCCTCTCTAAAATGACAGTTAAAGGTGTAGGAGCCCTACTTGTACATCTAATGATGTACAAGTAGTATGAGTCAGACACCTGACCTACATGTGACCAGTGAAATGCTTTTGCCATTATTAGACTTAATGCTGATTTCTAAAATCTCACATTTCTGAAGGACCTTGATCTTTTTCAGTGTATTTGAACAGATCAAGGCAACTGGAAATATTCATCCACACACCAGTCAACAACTGATTTAATCACCTGTTAGGAATCATCACTAGGATTCAGATTTAAATATTTTAAGGCTTTATTTGGTTGTTGCCAGGATTTCTTTCACTGTTTCCTTTAAAAATACCTCCTTTTTTCATCTGATAGAACACTTCTATTGAACTAAAGAAAACCACAGTGAGCTAAGAGGACCGCATTCAAACAACCTCTCCTCTAACTCGCAGCCTGGTCCCAATGTGTGTGGTTCTCCAGGCTCACTTCGAGAAGGGGAG